CTTTTTTTTTTTTTCTTTGATAATAAGCTATGGCTAAACCTCTATTCTGTTTCTAATCTTAGAAATTGGGAAAATACTTAGGAACACTGTTAAAATTCATGACTTGCAATTTGTAAAGAATAATGACTTACTGCTAACGCTGCTGAGAAACCCGCGCCTTTTTCCCTAGAGAAATGCTTAATGCTGGATTAAGGCAAAAGAGGAGAAATACACAACAGCCCACAGGCTTTGCAAGAGCTCTGCAAAAAAAAAAATAAAATCTCATAGATGCTCTGGAGTTTCTCAAGCGCCTCACGTGAAAATGAATTCAAGTAACGCTGAATAATTGCTGAAGCTAATCCTGTAACGAGGGGTGACATTGGCAGAGGGATGGGGAGGTGCTGGCTGCAGCAGCATCCACAGACCCCGCTCCCAGAGGCACGCAGGAGGAAGGGGTGCCTTCCCTTGAAACCTCAATAGTTGTTGGTTTTTTTTTTTTTTTAAAAAAAATCCTTTACCTTGCTATTTTGGATTCATACTCCGCCTTCTGCCTGGAGATGAGCCGCTGCAGCTCGGCCGGGTGATGCTGGGGGGAGCTGGGGGTCGCTGGCCCCCCACCACAGGAACCAAAGCTGTTGCTGGTGTCCACTGGGATGGGGCCCGTCTTTTCCTCGTCCCCTGGAACAGGACTCGTTGTGGTGTTGGTTTCTGGGGAGTTTTCCGGGTGGGTGAGCCTCGCCGAATGTCTTGAAGGAGAATTTTCCTCAAACATGGTTTAGTGGGAGGGGGGAGCACGCCTGGCCAGCACCACCCGTGCCCTCCAGCCCTTGTTGAAGACTCAATGCTGCTTCTGTTTGGAGGAGACCTTGTTTTCGGGTCTGTCTCGCTCTGCCTCGTCACGGGTTGTGAGAGTTTTCTTCCTCCCCGCAGCTGTTTGAAGCTTTTTCGAATACTTGGAAATAGTCCATTTTGCTGGAGCCTGGATCTGGTTTCAGGCTCCGGCTTTGCTTTCTGCCCGCAGCAGGTTGAGCTCTCGAGCTGCTGCCCTCTTGCCTTTACTCTTTGGGTGCTTTATGCTGGTCTCCAGGATCTCCTCCAGCTTTCCTTACCCTCGGTGCGGTCCGTGTAGTTCGACTGACATCTGTGGGTGGCCAATTTTATAGCTGCCCACCCTGGACTAGTTTCCCTCCTGGGATGAGGAGGTGGGTTTGGCAGGACCAGCCCGGTGCTGGAGCTGTGCAGAGGGAGCGGGGTGCCCTCTTTGCAGGCTCCTGGTGTTCCCCAAGAGCCCTGTTAGGTCTGTTTGCTCACACTGCTGGGTCACTCGGGGAGGAGAAAAGTGACTGGAATGTGGAATGGCTCCCTGGGCCACCCCATTCCCTGCTGCATCCCTGGGTCTGCTTCCCAGGGAGCAAATTACAGCCAGCAAGGGTTGCCGGCTGGCTCCAGCCGTGATGCTTCAAGGACAAGAAGCCGGAGGTTAAGGAAAACTAGGCCACTCATCAGCTGTATTTCAGATCCTCTTGGAAGAACTGTTTGATGTGAATAAATAGGGAGTGTTTATTTTAGCTGCCTGTTCTCCAATCGAGCACAGAACAGAAATAACTTGTTTATTACTAGAGGAAGAGCAAGCTAAGCATGCAGTTAAAATGAATATCTAAAAAATAATAGAGGTGGTTTAAAATAATCTGGAAAATTTTTTTTTTCCTTTCCCCGACCCTCCCCCCTTCAGTCTCGTGGTGCAAGAAATGCAAATGGGCTGGTTTAAGCGCTGCTGGATTTCTCTGAGTGTCTTGCTCATCTGCTGTATGAAAACCACCCCTGGTTTCGCTCTGCACACCTGGCCAGGCTGGGCTGTGCTCCTTGCAGAAGAGCTGGGAGGTTATTGAGACAATTCCCCACTTTAACCTGCGCTCCCTTCAGTAGGAAAAGCCCTTAGCAATAAGTGGGCAGGTCAGTGAATGCTTTAGGAACCTAAAGGCAGCCTGGGGTGAGGATAATATTACAAAAAGAAAGTAAATAAGGCCTTTGGCTTCTGAGGCTAAGATGCTGAATTGGAGGGAGATGGGAAGAAACCACTAATTTGGTTTTGCAGAAGGAAAATATTTCATAAACTGATCTAAGCACCACCATCACCCCCCCCACACACACACAGATGCTGCAGTTGCTGCTAACCTAAACTTTTCCTCCAGAAAAAGATATTCCTGGAGTATTTAATGCCGCTGCTTTGCATGAGTTCTGTGTCTATTAATAATCCAACAGATGGCTGTAGTTTCTGATGAATCGGATTCGGTTTCATTGATGAATCTGTTTTCTCCCCACCCCTAAGGAGAGGCGGCAGCTGTGCCCACCGGCAGCTGCTCCCCCACAACCAGCAGCGTCTCCGGCCCCGATTCCTGCAGGATGGAGAAGGGGAATAGCCAAGGGGTCCCTGCTTGAGAGTGGACAGACTGGGAGGAGTCCAAGCTTGGGGGTCCCCTTTGCAGTGCCAGTTCTATAATGACACGATGTGGGTGAAATTAAGGAGGCCAACGGGATGTGGGAAACTGGGAGAGCTGTGCTTGAGGTGTGTCACCCCTGGTCACGGTCAGCAAGCTAAGGTATTACTGGAACTGGTTCAGTTGGCTCATGTGGGGAGAGAAAAGGGAGATTTAGATGAGATACTAGAAAGAATTTCTTTGTTGTGAGGGTGGTGAGACCTTGGCCCAGGTTGCCCAGAGAAGCTGTGGCTGCCCCATCCCTGAAGGGGTTCAAGGCCAGGTTGGATGGGGCTTGGAGCAACCTGGTCTGGTGGGAGGTGTCCCTGCCCAGGTCACCTTGATGATCTTTGAGATCCCTTCCAACTCTAACCATTCTATGATTCTATGTGGGAGACTCTTTGGAGGCAGCAGGTTTCCAGCCCGTGGGCCTAGGGCCTGGGTGCAATGGCTCTGATGCCAGGGCTGTGTGTTGGCACTGAGACAGCGCTGGTTCCTTTCCTTGGTATTTGATCACTCAATAAAAGTGTAAAACCAGCACTCGGCATGGAGCCAACCGTGTGATAAGGTGGGAAACCATGTGAAGGTGTAGTGTGTGCTCCTCTGCTTCACCCTCCATACACAGCTCAGCACCGACTGAGATACTAGTGCTCTTCTGGGAGCGCTCTCTCTATTTTTGGATTTTGCTAATTACTCACCTTGATGTTATCTTGGAGCTGATGTGCAAAGAAAAGACAATAGATGAAATGAGTCCCCTCCTCAGCTGCCTCTCTCACACCCACTCCTGGTGCTGGTGTGGCTCCAGAGCAACGTGAAGCACATCAGCACTGATGCTATAATGAACAGATGTGGCTTTTCCATCTTCTCCTGGAGGTCAGTGCTGGCCAGGGGGGAGCTTTGTAGCAGGAACTGCAGGAGAATACTTACTCCTTGGGTTAGAAGCCAATGGCTCCTCCAAGACAAGGCATTGATACTGGGCTGGTGGTGTCAGAGGGGAAAGAGGAAGAAAAGTGAATAAAACATTGGATTGAGGGCTGCTGCACAAGGTCAGCTTCCAAGGTGGGATGAAGGTGAGGGAGCGATGCAGAGGGTCCTGCCACAGCAAATGGTTTCTTCAGGCAGGAGACTGTCTGCTGTGTGTCCTGGGGTTGGGTGACAGAGCCAGGGTATGGAAGGGTTTGTGCATCTCAGATGGCTTTCTGCGGCACGTGCCAGTACTGACAACTCCCGATTCCTCAGAAATGGCCCCCCTGTGATTCTTAGACAGTCCCGTGTTGCCTCTTTCTTAGGGTGGCTGCTGAGCTCCAGGGTAGGAACACGGGGTGCATCAGAGCATCATCAGGGGCGTATGATGGCTAGAATCTCATCTACTCTGTGCTTCCTCTCCTAATTAGCACCTTGACCAGGCACAGCATCACTTCATGTTGATCCCCTTACCCCTCTGGATTTACCTTTATTCATACGCCCTGTTGGCCTTCCACCTTCCCCGTGGCTTCTCAGGGAGGATTGCTTGTATTAGTTTCCTGACAATTTAAAGGTCAGCGATGAAGAGAGCTGTGTATTTTTTTTTTTGCCCTGAGGCAGAGGAAGAGCTCGGTTCCAGCCTCTCAGCTCGCAGGGAGCTGGGATGTTTTGAAAAACTGTTTCTTATTTTGGACTGACTTGGGATGGAGCTTGTGATTCTCTGCGATGACCTCTCCCTGGAGCGCGGCGATGCTGCCATGTGTGGTTAAAATTTAACGTGCTTGAAATAGTTCCTCCAGGCGAGCTGTGGGATTCGGCCTCCCTCGGTTCTGGGCCTGTGCCAGCTGCCCGTTCCCCGGCATCGCCTCTGAGCTCTGGAAGGGAGACCAGAGCACCCTCCCTTTGCCTTTTGTAGGGTCTCATCTGCTCTGCGGACTGATGAGACACGACTGTTCCAAAAAGGATGCCCGGGGACGTGCGTGTTGGAGGTTACTGCCTCCATAAAAGCTCATAACTTCTTTTACACAAAAGCTGATGATAATTGGACTCTGCTTTTGTCAGCCGGGTTTATCAGCACTTTCTCCTCTTCAGCCCTGGTGGTAGAGATGAGCTCAGTTGCCAGCAAGGGAGCAAACAGAGTCATCTGCACGCAGCTTGTGGGGCATCTCCTCGTGCCAACCCGAACTATTTCAGTGTGTTAAAATAGCTCTGGGCACTGCGTGTGGCAGCCGGGACGCGTTACCAGGTGTAGAGCAGAACGGCTGGACAAGGTAACACCTCAAGTACCAGCTCTGTGCTCCTGAGACACCCCCCAGGTATAATGAGTGGACTATTTACTGCGCTGAATCTGAGGAATAAATGAAAACAAAGAAAATGTTCTCTCTGCACCTGCAGAAAGAGGCCCAGGACAAACCAGTCTTGGCTGGGACAGACAGTAGCTCCAGGTGCTCGGTGACTTCAGGAGCCTGAGCTCTTTTAAACTTTTGGCAGGAGTCCTGTATTGTTTAACAGCAATCTTTTTGTGAAGAGAAATGAAAACAAAAAAATAAAAACCAAACTTTTCATAATTTGCTTTTGAAAGCTAATTAAATTTTTAATCTTTGTTTCCCTTTTTACGATGCTTGTTCTTATACAAAGGTGGTGTCTCATCCCATTATAGGAGGAAGAGGCACATACGGCTTGGTGTCATGAGAACCTGAGCTTTTCAAGCTTTGGGGCTTGTCAGGAATATTGTAGATTGCCCCTAATGGTTGTGCATAAATACAGAGGTCTGCAGCCAGATAGCATCACAGAAAACAAGGGCACTTGCCTTCGGGCAGCTGGAAGCTGCTTGAAAAATGGAGCTGGAGTCTCCTTACTGTGACCCCAGCACAGAGCTGGGAGTGTGTTTTGATATTTTTTTTGCTCATTGCAGGGCTGTAGCTGACTGTGGGATGTCCCTCTTCCCCCCGGAGCTGGGAGATGTCCCTGCAAACTGTAACGCTCTGGCTTTGGAGTCCTTCCCCATGGGAGACACTGTCAAATGTGAGGGGCTGCAGTTGCCAGAGTGCAGGAATGGGTGGGAAGGGAAAAATGACCTTCTTTTTTTCTTCCTTTTCTCTCCAGAGGAGAAGAGTATTCAGGCGCTTACCCACTAGATGTCACGGTTGGGTCTGGATTGGTGCTGCTGTCACCAGCGCTGCCTGAGCCCAAATGCCTGGAAAGGAAAAAACACCCAATTTTTTCAAGCTCGCTGGCAGTTTTTGACCAACATCTTATAAAAAGCAAGCCATAAATTCATTTTCAGCACTTAAACAAGGGCAAAAAGGTGGGCGAGGGGGAATGTTTAAAA